TTTTAGCAGACATCAACCATCATTTCATTAGATGTTGCAACATTTTGATTTTCTAATTCTGTTATTCACTATCAGTTTTTAATTGTGGTTCCTGTATAGTGAACTGTGTGCCCTGATCTTTGGTTTTGCTGAAATAGTCATCCAGGAAAGGCAGGCTGATGCTTGTTTCCTAGAGTAATCTTCAGAAAAAGAAGCTGGTATCATAACAGCGTCCAGAAGTGACTAGTATAGTGGTGGCTTTTGAACTGTTGTGGATTTTTGTATGTTTGTTTCCATTCTTTCTTTGTGCCCCTCACATTCTCTGTCTTTGGCCATCTGGAGCCCCTCCCTTCCTTTCCTGTTGATCCTGTGATGTGACCACAGGAGTCTTGGAGCACTCCCTTGCTGTCATGATACGGTGTCCCAGGTTCATCTCAAATTGAGTAACGTTCTGCAAAAGTGTGGCTGAATGAGGATGCAAGACTGAGGGGCTGTCACAGTTTGGAGGAGACTGGAGAGACGTGACAGCTCAGTGCCGTGTGGGATCCTAGAGTGGTTTCTGGTGTAGAAGGAGGATACTAGTAGAAAAACTAGTGAAAGCCAAAGAAAATCTATACAGTTGACCCTTGAACAACGCAGGAGTTAGGGGCGCTGACTCCCATGCAGTCGAAAACCAGCATGTAACTTGGCATGCAGCCCTCCATATCCACAGTTTTGTACCCTGGTATCCTTGGTTCTGCCTTTTGGATTCAACCAACCACAGATCCAGATCGTGTAGTCCTCTGGTATTTTTTATTGAAAAAAGTCTGCATATAAGTGGACCCACACACCTCAACCCCCGTGGTTCAAGGGCCAACTGTAGTTTAAAAAGTTACATTTACAATAAATTAAAGATTATGTAGATCTTACCTAGCTTATTTGATTTTATGTTTGTATTTCCTTTTATGCTAAAAATGAATACTTAATGTAATTCTTATTTACCTTATCGTATTACAGTGTGTATATGTGTGTATATAATATGTAAAATAGTTTCAAAATAATACCAACATTTACCCCAAAGAACAAGCCTACTGAGTGCATTTTAAGATTTCTTGGTGAGTTTTTAGGATTTTGTGTGCAAATACTGTCTTTTAATATCACTTAGAATAATTCTTCTCTGGATATTTATGCCACCTTGATACACAGTTATGTTTATTTGAAATTGATTTATATTTTTTTAAGGATTTCTTTGTCCCAAAAGACCTAAATAAATATTTAATTATGAAACAAACATTTCAGGTATATGTGAAAAGAATTGTTTGGAAACAGAACTAAGAGAACTATACTCTCCCAAGTAGTTAATAAGGTTAATAAAACTTTTTGAGGTGGAGCTTTGACAGATGGAATTAACCAGGTCTGCTAGCAGAGAGACCACTAAGTAGGCAGGTGGGCCCTCTGATTTCATCTCTTTGTTTTTTCATGTAAAGAGAAAATGAAAGCAAATCAGGAAAATGACTCCTTTTGTTCAGCTCGTTAAAGCTTTGTGAAAACTGCCTCTGACCACTATCAGGTTGTCACATTACTAGGTCTTATGCCAGGAAATATTTTGCTTTGACAGTAGATCTATTCCCCCCTTGCCTATTTGTCTTCACAACCTAGAGACCTACCTTTATGCCAAGAAACAATAGTTTGTATAGTTGTAAGTCTTAAAATAGTTTTGGTTTCTTGAACAAGTAATGAAAAAGTTATTTTGTTATTTATTGGAACTGTTGTCAATCATACTCATATTCATCATCATACTCATCATACTCTAAGTCTTATTTCAGATTCAGATATTTGATAATAAAGTTAATTTTAATGCAAATTTTAATGCTTTGTATCTCTGTACGGCTTGCTTAATGAGGTGCATATCAGTAACCCCTTCTGTTGGCAACTTTTCCAGTTCTTGGACTTTTTTTTTTCTTATTAGTTATCTGTTTTATACATATTAGTGTATATATGTCAATCCTAATCTCCCAATTCATCCCACCTCCACCCCACCACCACTCCCCACTTTCCCCCCTTGGTGTCCATACATTTGTTCTCTACATCTGTGTCTCTACTTCTGCTTTGCACACTGGTTCATCTGTACCATTTTTCTAGATTCCACATATATATGTTAATATACGATATTTGTTTTTCTCTTTCTGACTTAGTTCACTCTGTATGACCATCTCTAGGTCCATCCACATCTCTACAAATGACCCAGTTTCGTTCCTTTTTATGGCTGAGTAATATTCCATTGTATATATGTACCACATCTTCTTTATTCATTCATTTGTCGATGGGCATTTAGGTTGCTTCCATGACCTGGCTATTGTAAATAGTGCTGCAGTTAGCATTAGGGTGCATGTGTGTTTTTGAATTATGGGTTTTTTCTGGCAACTTTTCCAGTTGTTGGACTTTTTTTAAAAAAAAAGTGTGTCAGGTCAGTAATAAAGAGATATAGTCGTGTGATGTAAAGATCACTTGTTTATAGATAGGATGCATGGGTCAGATCAGGACCACTGTTCTGTTGTATGAGCTACTGCCATGGCTCATACATTTTAACCTTTTATTATACAACATTTCAAACATACAAAAGTAGATGGGGTCGAATCATGAACCCTCATTCACCTCTTCTGGGAAGAACAGTTGTGAACCCCCATGTCTCTGCCCCACATCATGGTGTTTCCCCTGTAAGTATTTAAATATGCAGCTCTGAAAGGTAGGCTCACTTTTATTATTATTATTAAACATAACCACAATATCATGACATCTAAGAAAATACAGGAATTATTTAATACTGTCAAATATCCCATCACTATTGCTTCCCTGATTGTCTCTGGTTTCAGTTTATTTGCATCAGATAAAGCCATATAAACAAAATAAAGCCATAGTTTGGCCAGTATGTGTATCTTGTCTCCTTTTGTGTTGAAGAAGCCAAGGCTACTCATCCAGGAATTGTGAGCTTCGCTGAACCCCTTGGCATTCCTCTGTGCTTGTGCTTGCTGCAAGTTTGTAATAAGATCACGTCCTGGGTTTGTTGTTTGTTTTGCAAGACTACTTCCTATCTGGTAGTGATGCTGTTTCTATTATAAGGTACATAATTTCTGACTGTCTGAAAAAATATAGGTAGTATATATAATAAAGGACTATTGATTTTTTTTCTCTTTTGGGTATCATATCTTGTTTTCAACCAAACTTTTTTTCCTTTGGTAATCTTAAAAATCAAGTTAATAGTGGTAAAATGCATCTACACCCCATTCTGTGACTGTCAGTCTGGGTACCAATCTATATTTTCAGGATTTTACAATTTAACACATTGCAAATGATTACAGTTTAACATATTTGTCATTCATCCTACATTGTGGAAAACATTGATCTCTGTGAAACTGATTTAATTTGTTTCAAGCATTTCTCCTCTGTTAGTAGTTTACATTTCCAAACGTGTCTTACAGCATTTCAGTGATTTTGTGCTTTTGTGGTTGATGATATACATTTGACAAAGTGTGAGATCACCTTTGACCATCAGACTATTTCATTATCAAGGGTTTTGAGAATTTCATCATAAGCAGGTTATTGAGAATAAGGAATGCCATAATAGAAACTAAAAACCTACATGGTGGGCTTCCCTGGTGGCGCAGTGGTTGAGAGTCCGCCTACCGATGCAGGGGATGCGGGTTCGTGCCCTGGTCTGGGAAGATCCCACATGCTGCGGAGCGGCTGGGCCTGCCCGCGAGCGATGGCCGCTGAGCCTGCGAGTCCAGAGCCTGCGCTCCGCAGTGGGAGAGGCCACAGCAGTTAGAGGCCCACGCACCGCAAAAAAAAAAAACCTACGTGGTTACCTGGTGAGACAAGAACAGTTAGCTTTTAAATGTCTTTATCTGCCACTTGGATACTATGTGTTTTCAGAAGCAGCCTGAAAAATCTGGGTTAAATCAACTTCTTTATCTTGTGAAGCAGTGTAGTTTACAGTGAAAAGAGGGAATGCCTGGAGCCACACCTGGATGTCTGAGAATCTTGGTTCTGATACTCATAATATGAAATCATGCAAACTATTATCCCTTCTGAGCCAGAATTACTTCATAAGCCATTTGGGAAAATCAAATGAGATACTGTATGTGAAGTTCAGTGTCCAGCTTCTGAGCTGAGTGAATGCTTTGCAGAAGCTGTTTTGCATACTTGTGCCCTGTTTAGACTGTTTTTGGTTTCTTTGGTTCAGAAATTGCAAAGGGATTCCTTTTAAGTGAATTATTGTTTATTTCTCCTGACAGCTGTTTTCCTGGAACAGAATGAAATCAATAGGGCTGGTCAAAAACCATATGTATATCTTCTTTTTTTTCTTTTTTTTTTTTTTTGCTGTACGTGGGCCTCTCACTGTTGTGGCCTCTCCCATTGCGGAGCACAGGCTCCGGATGCACAGGCTCAGCGGCCATGGCTCACGGGCCCAGCTGCTCCACGGCATGTGGGATCTTCCCGGACTGGGGCACGAACCTGCGTCCCCTGCATTGGCAGGCGGACTCTCAACCACTG